AGATTAGGGTGTAATTTAAACAGCTAATAATAGGGTCGGCAAAAAAGTTACACCATCAGAATGAAGTGCTGGTGATGGATGTGACCTCATGTGAGGCATTGTGAATTCAGGTGAATTAACAGCGTGAGGTCTGGAAGTTTTCTGCTGAGTGGATTAAAAGGACTGAAAGCTCAGTGGACTAGAATGCTAATGCTTCATTTTTGGGTGCACTATCCCTTTAAAGAAGTGGGATCTTTTGAGGGATATGGTCAAAGATATCAAAACTGAGTGTTCAGGTGCTTGTCATCAACTCCTAATACCAGACATATTTAAGTTAACCAGGAATTTTGCCAGTCTCCACCCAGCCTTGTATCATAACACTGGTCGTATGTGCAAATGAACTATGATAAACTTCCCTCCATGATACCAGTGCCAAGATCTCACTGCTCATCGCTCAGCTCAAATCCACTGGATGACATCCTTTTGGCTCGCTCTAGTGCTGCTGCCATGCATGTATAAAGTGAACTCGATACATCATTGGAGGTGGCGCCCTGTTCATTCCTATGAAAGATGCTCAGTGGCACATAAAGCCAAAAATGTTCAACTTATGCACATAAAATTAACCAGATGATTGGTGCTGCTTCCACACAGTGTGGCCCATAGAGCAGGCACAATAGAGACTTTAGTGCTCTGCTAACATGAATGGGGATAAAATGATTCAACTGTGTGGCTTTTTCAGACTTTACGGTAACAAATTCGGATAATGAAATGAGTCATTTCACACTGATTGTGATGCTCCAGAAATGTGTAGCCACTGAACAAACCTGGCTCATAAAAGGTCACTGATAATGTTTGCAAGCCTGTACCTTAGTGCCTCAAGACGTGAGAAATGTGCCTGGACTTCTCTGGGTAAGTGCGACCTCTCCTATCTGGGATGTGTGTGTGTGTGTGGTTGCCTCACCACCAGGCCACTGCTCTTCCAGCTCGCTTGGACCAGACGCCTCCGCTGGACACCCCTCAGGTGCCGTTCCATTGGACCAGTCAGCCGACCAGCTGGCTCTTCTTTGTGGTTGTTCAGAGTGAATGCGTATCTACATGGATAATTTGTGGTGGCATTTCAAAGGCCTTTTCAGTCTCCTTTGTCTTCAGAATGTCTTGCCTCTGGCATCTCCCTAATGGTGTGCCTGCTTAGCTCAAAGGCCTCTCCAGCTCTCGCTCCAGGTGCAGCTAATAGTGGCTAATGAGTCAGTACCACTGAACCCAAAGTGTGACATCAGTGTTGACCCTGCCTCCTACCACCTGCCTAAACCACACCCACAGGACACCCATTACACTACCTATAAAGCTATCGGTCAGTCTATGAACAGTCTTTTTGGGCCACAGGGCATCCTGTGATGGTGTAATTTCACCTTTGGGCCATTGCAAAAATTGTCTTTAGAACCAGCCCACTTTTTGGGGACCTGGTTAGAACGGCCAAGTTCCATTACGTCACTCATCAGCTGGAGCGCTTAGTGGTCCGGTGCTGCGCAGTGTATTCTAGTAGTTGTCGGTTTTCTATTTCTTGAGCACAAGCAAATGTCACAGCCCTTTCCTGTTTTCTCCAGTCATGTGGCACCAATTTCAAAAGCATTTACATTTTTCCACTTCATAAACAGCCATTTTTCCAGCAGTGACATATTTCTTTAAGGTACAGATTTGTCCTTGGTCGTTAAATCAAGGTCCACAAATTTTAAGACATTCAGTGTCATACTTGCGTTTGGACATGTTGTCAAGCTAGTTTGCTGTCTCTGTCAAGTAGCTGTCACTCACTCTACAGCAGGAAACAGCATTTCACAGTAAAAGCTTGTGCTGGAAAGTCACTGTACTTCAAAACTGAAGTGTATTTTTTATCAACTTGACATGTTCTCGAGGCACTTGTGGTCCATTTAGAATGGACCTGCGACCCAATTTTGGACCGGGACCCACCAGTTGGGAACTACTGTTTTAACATGTCCAGGCTGTCAACAATAACAAATGTCCCGCCTGCCTTTTTTGCATCTTGCTGTAGTTTTTTCATGGTGTATTTGGATACAGTATGTATTATTGATAACTGTAATGTATTACATTAAACACTGTAGCAGCATGCCGTGCATTCTGGGATACTTAGGGCTGCAAAGTAAACATTGTACAGGTTGTGTGCTCCATAACCTGAGTGTTCAGTAGGTATTTTTCCACTGCATTAGGAGGAATCTTTGAAATGAAACAGAACTTGCCAACTTGTTATGACATATTTAGTCTAGAAATACAGACTTTGAGGATCCAGCACCTGAAAGGAGACACAGCTTACTTAACAATAACGCCATCCCGCACATTGTGTACATCTCCCATCTCATACTCACTGCACACCAACTTAAAAATCCAAACCTCTGACACTAAGATGACTTGACTTCAGTCTTACCATGTAATCAAATGGTCCCAGTGAACGTTCCCTGGCAGAACCCCATTAAAGCTTCGCAGCACCGACTGGCGCTTTTCTTGTTCACGGTCATAAATCCATGGAAAACACATCACTTTATTCCACATCTACGACCTCGACGAAAAGGTGAGCATTCATCAGTCCACTAATTACTTTCTGCTGAGCAGTAGCAATATTCTCCCTGCACCAAACTTTCCAATTTTCAGTGCTGACTTTGTTTCACTGGGAGGGCTGCACTTGTTATTTTGTTGTTATTGTTTTTAGGCTCTATCCAGTTTCATCCCTGACATGCTGGCTCATTTCATGTGGCTCACCAAAAAATTGAGTTAATGAGGTCATTAATTGTTTTTGTTCCGTATTCATAACTCACAGCATTAGATTTAATGCATCATTATTCTTTTTCCTTGTCCTTTTCATTTCTAGTCAGCCTTAAATTATCTTTGGTCTTCATGTTACAGCTTTGAAATTCCTGTGGATGTGCCATTTTCCAAAACCCAAAGCCACAAAAAGAGGGAACAAGTCTCTGGCATAGGTAGGACCAGGGGCCTTTCCCACAGGGTCTGCAACTGTGTGTGTCGCTGGAAATTTAAAGAGCTGCACAGTAGCAGAGAAGTCTCACTTCTCAGTAAGTCTGACTCTGTTAGCACTGGTGTCACTGTATTTATCAAATCATATAATCTGCAATTTTTTTCTCAAGTGTTTCAAAAGGTCAGTGTTCAGCTACAGAGTATTTGGTTTCACATATTTTATGCTGTATGTTATTTCCGTACCACAAGGCATTAAAACAGCATTTAGGCAGCAGAATGCCAGACGAGTGGTATTTTACACAGAGATTAATATAAATCCTTCTTCTCCTTCTTCTGCTGGTGTATCTTTATTTATTTTCTGTATTTGTTTTCTACATTCATGTATCCTGGGTTTCTAAGTTGTTAAAATTCTTGAGCAGTGATGGTAAATGTTAAATCACCATTATGATTTTAGTTCCCAAATTCCAACACAGCACCACAAAGGAAGAAATGTGTGTTTAGAGGCATCGCTGGAATGTGGCACCTGGACATTAACATGGGTGTTGCACAACACCTCCAGTTAAATTTATTTGTTTTTTTTCACATGAGGGTAACAGGTAATCATCATCACTTGTTGTTTTTAATACCCTGATGTCCATCAGTACAATATAATATTTAATAGAATAATGAAACTAAGATTTTATGTGCCAGCAAACTCATCCTCCCATTCATTCTGTAGATCAAATGTTTAAGTCAAGTTAATTTTAAATCATGGCTCATAAAAGAACTGCTGGAAACATTCATTCATTCATAATTTGTAACTGCTTATCCTGTTGGGGGTTGTGGGGGGGCTGGAGCCTATCCTAGCTGTCATTGGATGAGAGGTGGGGTACACCCTGGACATAGAGACAGACAACCATTCACACTCACATTCACACCTACAGGCAATTTAGAGTCACCAATTAACCTGTATGTCTTTGGACTGTGGGAGGAAGCTGGAGTACCCAGAGAAAACCCACGCTGACACAGGGAGAACATGCAAACTCCACATAGAGAGGCTTCCCCACCCCAGGTTTGAACGCACACACCCTGAGGTTCAAACCAACAACCCTCCTGCTGTGGGGCAACAATGCTAACTACTGCACCACTGTCATGAAAACATACTTTTGAAAAATATTTCCATATGTAAACATTCAACAAAAGAGAAATTGTGTTAACTATGTTCCCATCTTTTAATTTTAATATTTGAATGAAATATGAATAAGTACAGTATCTCAACAACTGTACTTAAGTACAATTAAGAGGTGTACTTGACTTACTTACTACTACTTTTTACTTCCACTCCAGATTTTATTGTACTTTTTAATTTGCTATATTCACAGCTTTATTTACTAGATGCTTTGAAGATGTATTGTTATTAAAGCAGCTAAATAATTATGTTATTATGGAATAAGCTACCCAGTAATTAACAGTAGCCCCACTTGCACCAGCGGGAACATTAAACTGATGAACACTCTAACTATGTTAATGTGTGGTTTGGGAGATTATGAATGAGCATTTGTTTATTAAATAACTGTTTACTCAGTAACCAGTTCAAACCAAACTGAGGTCAGATGACCTTCAGGATTGCTTTAAGTCTGCGCCACAGATTTTGGCCCAACATGAAGATATCTGATACTGACAGATGTTTTCTCACCACAGGCCTCACACCCCAACATCATTATGGACATGTTTTCTAACTCCACACCAAGTCTTGTGATATCTGGCAACAAAAGTATGCTCTTGGTTATAATTTCATCACCAAAACACTTTTGTGGTCACACTGTAAGAGTTGATGTGGAATTGTAGAAATGTCCCTGCAGATATATGCTCTGAGCATGGAGTGCATAAATAGGGTTGAGGGCCCGAGCTGCAGAGAGGGAACTGATGAATGACTCACTTCGCTCCCTTGTGGCAGTGAAGGGTAAGACTACTTACTGTTATTACTGAACCGGGGACAGATATAACAGGGACTTGAGCGCTGTGGTGCTGTCCATTCTGATCCTTACCAGAGAAGATGATGGAGCTTTTAGTTTCTGCTGTAATTTTTTTCTCGTAATATTTTAATTTCCAGAGTTTGATTTTGAATTTTTAAAGTCACTTTATACAGTATTTATATTTGCTGGACTATAAACCTGCTGGTGCTTTGGACTGCTTTTAGTCACATTATGATTTTGTTTTTTGGAGAATTGCTTATGACCAGTGAGGTGTGTTACTCACATATTTTACACACAGTTTTGCTGTTTGTAGGTGCACGTTGTAGATTTATGCACTTTTAAGTTTACTTTTCTTTTTGCGCCACATTTTGAGAAATATTTCACATTATTTTATAAGTGGAAATGTTTTTCTCCAGTTTTTATAACGCATGGGTGACTGATGCTGAACCAACCCTTGTCTGTCACTCAGGAAACATGTTTTGAGACATCCATCCTCACACTTTGTCCTGACACCTGTGAGGAGGACGCACCGAAGACTTTGTCACTTAAGACCCTTTAAGTGACTGTTCCAGTCATTGCATGACTGCACAATCCTGACGCATCTGCAGAAGACACGACTGCGGCAATGGAGAGTATTTCTAATGATAGTGACTTCTGGCAATTTAACGAATCCTGGAGGAACTCAAGTCTCGGTAACGGGACCAATTGGTTGAACCAGACGAACCCTCTTAAACGGAATGAAGAGGTGGCGAAGGTGGAGGTGACTGTGCTCGCCCTGGTGCTGTTTCTGGCGCTGGCGGGGAACCTGTGCGTCCTGCTGGCCATCCACACCACCAAGCACAGCCAGTCGCGCATGTATTACTTCATGAAGCACCTGAGCATCGCTGATCTAGTTGTTGCGATTTTTCAAGTTCTCCCTCAACTTATCTGGGACATTACATTTCGCTTCTATGGACCCGACATTTTGTGCAGGTTGGTGAAATACCTACAGGTCGTTGGGATGTTCGCCTCCACTTACATGTTAGTTTTAATGTCAGTGGACAGGTGTTTGGCAATTTGTCAGCCTCTTCGTTCTTTGCACAGGAGAAAAGACCGTTACTATGTCATCTTCTCCTGGGTCCTGAGCCTGCTCTTCAGCATCCCGCAGATGTTCATTTTCTCCCTGATCGAGGTTGGCTCGGCCGGATCAGGAGTGTATGACTGTTGGGGAGATTTCGTGAAGCCTTGGGGAGCCAAAGCATACATCACATGGATCAGTCTCACCATATACATCATTCCAGTGGCGATACTGAGCATTTGCTACGGGCTGATAAGCTTCAAAATATGGCAAAACTTTAAACTGAAAACCAGGCGGGAGCAGTGTATAAGCCTGACGCCCAAAGCCTCCAAATGCAACACACTGGCCCGCGTGAGCAGCGTGAAGCTCATCTCCAAGGCGAAGATAACCACAGTGAAAATGACTTTTGTGATCGTCTTGGCTTATATCGTCTGTTGGACACCCTTTTTCTCTGTTCAGATGTGGTCTGCGTGGGATCCAGCAGCGCCCCGTGAGGGTAGGTTGAATTTTAAAGTTGAATATCACACCGAGTGCGCGCCAAAGTACTGATGTATTCATGCCATTACCCACCCTTCTCCATCCATCATTTTCCTGACAATATTGCAAAGTAGAATTGAATGGAGATTTGTAATTGCCGCAGCCGTCTTGCTGTGCGCATCAGTGCTCTTTACGCACTGGGGTGCCAGCGCTTGCTTACCCAAATGGAGCAAACTGGGGCAACAAAAACATCATTTTGAGATGTGTTTATTCAGACTTTCTCATTCAGATGGGTCGGGCACTGTGGTGACTCACTGAGAGTCAGATTCTGCTGTTTTAGTATCAGGGTGAATAAGGCAGGGTGCGGTGTGGATGACAGAGTTAGGTGACTGAGCTGAAGCTCTGACAGATCACAGTGCAGGGGGTTTGACCCTCGGACAAAACACAAAAGAAACGAGTATGTCACCTGTCTGCTGAAAACAAACATGTTTAGAAATTGCATACCTGTGTATGGGACATTTGAGTGATTGTGACATTTAGCAATTTGAATGGAAAACCACCCCTGTAATACGCACAGGTCTTCTTCACAATACAGTCCCTGTCGCCTTTCCACCAAAATTTAAAACCAGTGATTAGAACATGCTGCATTTCCAAATTGGCTGGCACTTACACTTTAACATCAGATAATTACTTTATCTTGCTTATTAATTAAATCTCTTCTAATGCTGTTAATGTTTTGTTTACATCAGGGATGCAAAGGCAGAAGGACGCACCTATATTTTGTTTTTCACATGTCAAATCCAGATTATATTTAAACACCTGTTGTGTGGTAAGAAAACATGTGTGGACTTGGCGTTTAAAGTGTAAAATCTGTACACAGATTATTCCAAGTTTCTGACCCTCTTCACAGCTGCAGACACCGACTGACGGCTAATCATTAATCAAATTAGTGTGCGCCACCACGCGCCAAGCAGCGTTTCTTTGTGCCTGTGGGCACGCTGGAGTGCGTCGTTGACATTTCAAGCACGATAGGACATTAGGCAGCCATCTACTGTATGTGGCCCCTATATTTATTGATCCGCTGTGTCATGACCACACCCATATACAACAGAAGATGTAATATGCCAGTTTGGATTCACAATGTGCTCCTTTCATTTTTATTACAACTGGATAGAACCACTGTAAGTAAAATGCCAATTAATGTAATAGCCTTGTGAAAAGTAAATGCATTCAGTATAAAATGGGCTTGCTTCTATATGATGTAAGGGCATTAGTTATACTGGAAAAATGAAGAGTAAATCTAATTAGAGCTATTAATTTGGAGACTTTGCAGAACAATGTGTCTGCATCTCCTCAAAGACAATACAGAGCTTGTTTTCCAAGCAGTTTTCATCCAATTATATCTTTGCTGCTCCGGTATTTCCTCAGACAATGAGTAAAAAGAGAAACATTTCCTACAAAAACAAGACTAAAATAAGATAAATTGTGCACATGCTAGAAATGAGACCATAATATCAGGAAGTTTATGAGTGGAGAGCAAACAGACTTTGGTGTTTCAGCCCTTTGGTCTTTTCTTTTGCTTCTGTGGGTTTGTGTACAATGTTCCAGCTGACTGGTTCTGTGTCGCTGTCATCCTCCTCAAGCTGCCTTGTTCACACCAGCTATTTACACTTTGGAGGTAAACAGCTGCACAGCACACTTAGCTGTCATCCAGTTCTTCCACACTAAGGAGGTCTATTGCTATAACTGGCTCTGATGCTGCACCTCGCGACAATGTTTGAAGTGACAGTCGCCAGAAAAAGAGCAATAAGAGTGCTCCAGCCCCTGAATGGAAAAGAAAGTGATTAATTCATTTTCTGTTGCAGAGCCAGACTCAGTGCAGGGAGGATGTCTGATGTCTGATGGCTGTCCTCCACGTGAACAGTGCTCAGAAAGGCCAGAATTGGCAGTGACACGTGCCAGTGTTTGTGTACAAAAGATAGGCTGGAGTGTCACCTGTGTGAGTGTGTAGATAAAGTGTCCATTAGAGTCATACTCAGCAAAGACCACACAGCTTAGGACAGAAAGCCCCCACTATAGGAGGAACCTCTGTGTTACAAACATGTGTTTCAAACGTTCATGATGTAAACAAACTAGCTTCATAAAACATAAGGCTATTGAATAAGATTTTAGTTGTAGTTAATTGTTGTTAAAGGTCCAGTGTGTAGGATTTAGAGGCAGCTATTGGCAGAAATGGTATACAGTATTCACAACTTTGTTTCATTTAGTGTATAATCACCTAAAAATAAGAATTGTTGTGTTTTTGTTTGAGCGGTTTATATCTATATATGGAGCGGGTCCTCTTCCACAGATTCAGCAAAGTTGTATCTACAGTAGCCCAGAAAGGACAAATCAAACACTGGCTCTAGAGGTTTCAGTTCTGGAACCTCACTGCTAGATGCCACTAAACAGGCTGTTCTCAGAAACCAATGAAAAAGGTGGAAAGTCTGTGACCAAACATCAATATGCGACAAGGTCAGAGTGAGAATGTGTTCACAACTACCTGAAATTTACCAGGGTCTATGGTATATGACAATATGCAACACATTGTCACACCGAGCCCGTCACATTTCGACGTTCGTTCATGGAGTTTCCATGTTGACATGCTGTGAAAGGTACCCTTGGTGCATTGCTTGTTGACATTCTGGGACGCCATGTCAACTTCAGCCTGTTACGTGCATTGTGTCTTTTCAAAATACACATCTGTCTTTACAGGAAATGCACCATTTTCCCACAGTCTCTTTCAAAATAAACACAAACTGAAAACTCTGCGAATTTATGTTTTTTTTTCCCTTCAACAACAAATGTACGTGGTTGGGTCTAGAAAAAAGAACATGGTTCGGCTTTAAAATCATGAGGGAAGCAAACGCAGGCCTCCTAGATAGTCCTGTAACTTATCCCTCCACCACTCGGAGACGCAATGTCTCTCAGATCAGCTGCCTGTTCCATCAGTAGAGGCTGACCTCTGGTGATGCGAGGTGTGCGCTACATACACAATGAGGTCAAAAGAATGAGGAGGACCTGTATTCATGACCGTATTTAAAATCATATCATCGAGATCTCTAAATACGCTGGTATACCGTGATACCATGACACTGCCCAAGCCTAATTGGTGTGTATACCTTCAAAAGATAATGCACCATAATTTGTGTATAACCCATGAAAAAATGAGCCAGTAATTTGTGTATAATCCACATAATCTTGAAGTGGCAATCATGTGATCAGTGCACTGACAGGAGTATAGAAGTAGTATAAAGACCAATAGTCTGCATAAGGAGGCAGGCTGGGGTGGAGAAACGGTCACAGAACACAGGACTTTCCCCCAGGAGACCAGTGTTTGGGACTGTGTGAAACCAAGTGAAGTCATCGTTACCATGTTTCTTTCCCTAAATGTAATCTACATAATTTAATTTGCCTAAATCTGAGCTACGTTAACTTTGTAAATTTATATTTAGTATGTAATGTGACAACGCCATCTGTATGGCACTAATTTGTTAGATATCATACAAACTGTTGTATAAGGAAACATTGCACCAAATCATTCACACTGGACCTTTATGTAGTCAGCTTGGAAGAGAGAGTTTTAATAATGTGTTCTGGATTGTCCTGGCTAAATCAGGGTCTGTGCCTTTAAAACTGAGAATCAGGCAGTGAGGATCATGCAGAGCAAATCTCATTATCGTGTGTAATCATTCCTTATGAGGTAACCTGCAGTCTTATTGTAGATATTTAGATAGCAGCAGATCTCAAACAAAGATTATGATATTATATGCATCATTCCATATAATCACCTTTAGCATTCTACACTGGAATATATCCACAACAAGTTATACGACACTTCTGTGAAACAAAATATTTTTAAAATACCAGAGTCACGGTCATTTTCCTTTGGTGCAGAAAAAAGTTTATTATTTCAGCATGTTTTTGAGTGATTGGCGCCATTATGGAAAATTACTGCCATGGATTCTTCCGATATTCGCCTAATAAAGACATCGTTTTGTTCAATTTACACCATCAATCAAGCTGACGTTTCAATATAAGTGGAGGTTTACCACTTAAAGGTCGCTGTCTGTCTTTAAAAGGCCACTCTTAGCAGAAACAGCAAGTACAAGCAGCAGTCTACACGTAGACTTCTTCACCCTGCATGGTTCCCAATTACCAAAGTAATCATGTTTTCTGCAATAAATGAGTCTGCAACCCCCTCAACACAATCAGCAACATGATACGAAACTTGTCCGAGTTCATAGTTTGACATTTTGGAAAATACGCTTTGGGAAATATTCGCTTTCTTGTTGAGAGTTAGATGAGAAATTAGTCTGGCTCTGTCCAAAGATATTTTTGGCTTTGTTTCTTCCTTGGCAAAGAAATGGTCCAGCACACAGCTCCATGCGAAATGGCATTTCTATTCTTGTTTTCACACTACAATTTGATAAAACAAACAAAAAAGTGTTAATTAGTGAGCTTTGGCTGATTGTTTTATCTTTGAAAAGAGTCAGGCTAGCTGTTTCCAGTCTTAAATGAATACTTCACCACCCAGAATGATAATTTGTAAATCAATTACTCACTTTGTTCACAGTAGAAGCATAAAAAAAACGTTTTCCTCCCAAATTCAGCACAACACAGGGTGAGTAATTGAAGATGTGAGAGTGGTATCAATCTTCATACCTAACTCTCATCAAGAAAGTGAGTAATTTCCCCAAATGTTCAACTATTCCTTTGGCCAAAGTAGATCCAGTGGTTCAGCACACACATTGTGTGAAGTCTAGACCCTTAGATACAATGTCCGCATCAAGCCAAACAGTGTGTAGTTTTAGATGCATGGACAAAGAGCCAATTTCCTCCATCCTTTGGAGTTCCACCAGATCTGCTGATTTACTGTGAAAGATTCAGCACCTTACAAAAATAGGAAGTTTGCCATCATTAGCACCCCATTTGGCTTATCAGTTCGATTTCTGGAAATGTTAGTGTCCCATTATTCTGAGCTTTGTAACGTCAATGGTGTCTGTGATTTCTCACTGAATAGCCAGAGGACAAAAACACCTGAAGGTTAAGCCCTGACTCAGATACTGAGCTCCCAAAGAAAAAACTGTGAACACAAACATGCCCCCCTACTGTGCCTGCTGCCCTTGGACGCTGACTCACACTCTGGGTGCTATTGATTGGTGTTGAGTGTTTGATGGACACAAAGCCCACTGTTCAATCTTCAAGCATTCCTTACATATATATATATATATATATATATATAAGTGTCAGTGCCTATATGGTGTCTTTACTACAAGGCGAAAAAAGCAAGACAGTGTCAAACAGACAGAAGGATCTCTCAAAGCAGATTCACTTATAAATCTCACTTATTTTTAGAATTAAAACGAGATTATTGCAATGGCTGTTTACCTCCAGGGAACCACAGTCGGCACTAAATGTTCCTGTTAATGACTCGCTGAAGAGTCTTTTGGGGCTGCGCGGTATCGGCTCTGACAGACAGACAGATGTACCACCCAGGGGATGATCATTCTGCCTTTTCTCTTGCCGTGCGATTCATTCCTCTCTCGTGTCAGACACCAAGAGCTAATCCTGTTAATGACTTTTCCTTGATAGTTCTCCCTATTATTCAAATTCGATACAGGCTCTGCTCTCAGCCACCCTGATAAGACCGACTGATAACCACCAGTTGGTCTTTTGCACCATCTCGGATAAAGCCTATTCCTCCGTCCATGTCAGCAGTATTACGATATTAGAGCAGGTTGATTCACGATCAGCTGGTAAATTAAAACTTTTTGCCAGCCCCTTTTTTCCCCCATAACGTCTTAATTGCACTTTCTTGCTCAGGTTAAAACAGGGTTGCGGTTCTCGCTACATTTTTCTGCCATTTTCATTTACACATCTAAAAGATTACAGCGCAGCCCCAAAGTGTATTAAAGAGCCTTTGACACAAAATCAGAAGGGTAATTGAATGATTTACACTCATTCAAACTCATGTTTTACTCTCATAAATCAAACCCTTAATGGCTGATAATCAATTAATATCAAATTAATCATGCGTGTGACTTCCGTGTCCTTACAGAGATCATTTATGCCGAACAATTTTGCTCAAGCTCAGGGACTGTCATTATCGGCAACATTAGAATAGCAGCAGCATGGGCTGATTAGCAATCAGTAAGAAGAGGTTAAATATGGCATGCCAGCCAATTATATGAATCTGAACCTCATTTGCCAAATGTCAGTTGGATGGTGGAGTTGACGTAGCGTAAATGTCATCCACCGTGCCACTGCAGGTTACTTGCTATGATGTATCACCACAGCATTGTGTGAGGGACATTTCCGCCTCCCCTCCTGCTCTGGTTTTGCAGGAATTTCCTTTGTTTTCAGGTGTTTTCTTGCTTGTTTAAACAGCTCACTGTTTTTATTATTTTACAATTATTTAACTCTCGCTTTTGAGCTTCAAGTCCTCTCCTTCCAGAATCCCTCCAGCTATAATTACACAGTTACAACGATGTGATTGTAACTTGTAAATGAGCTGCTTCCACATTAGCATGAATGCCAAATAGGCGACAGGAAACAAGACTGTAATTGCTCTGTGTAGCTGTGTTAACTGCTCAGCTAATTTTAGCACGCCAACATGCTGATATTTAGCAGGTAATATTAAACATGTTAAACATCTTACTGTAGTCTGACCTGGTGGTATATTAACATTTGCCAATTAGATCTTAAAAACAAAGTAAAACTGAAGCTGATGGGAAAGTAACTATTACAGTATTAGTTTTGTATGTATTTGGTCATAAACCAAAGTACTGGACAATTTAAAATTGTGAGTGCCTCTCTTGGGTGTGGCACCTGCTCCTGCTTTGCCTGGGACCCAGCAGGATCCAGGGGGGATTAACAGGCCCGCTTTGTGTCTTGCTAATGCCCAGGACATGATGATCTCCAAAGGCCCCCATGTAAATTTGACTAAATTATTCCAGCAGATTATAGGGAGCTTTTTGGACCCTCCCTTTACCCAGGGCCAGGACAACTGACTCTGGGTTGGTGGCTTTGGGGCTGGACTGTGAGCCCCAGGGAGCTTTGGGAGCCCTCAGATTCTGACCCTCTCAGTGTCACATGTCCTTGGATAAAAAAAAGTGCCACAGGATTTCCTGGCCATATGAGTGCTCAATTATTGGTGATATCAAAGAAGAAGACCCCATTTTCACAACTAAACATTAAAGTATATGTTTGTTTTTTTTTATTACTGCCTTACTTATTAAATTAAGACAAAGTAATTGTTGCTATATGCAAATACCATGCAGTTGAGGGGCTGAGCATGAATTTCTGCACCAAATTTCAAAGCAATCCACACAATGGTTGCTGTGATATTTTGCCCAAAACCATAAATATCGACCTCCAAATCTGAAGCCATGGATCTCTGCCGGATTATCTCCTCCAGGTTATGAGAGAGTTACTGCTTCAAGCGAAGGAGTTCAAGTGTCTTGGTGATTTGTTCACAAGTGAGGGTAGAATGGAGCTTGAGATGGATCAGCAGTTTGGTGCGGCGTCTGCAGTGATGTGTAGGACTGTCATAGTGAAGAGGGAGCTGAGCCAGAGGGCAAAGCTTTCAATTTACTGGTCCATCTCTGTCCCAAGTCCCAGCGCTCACCAATGGTCATGGGCTCTGGGTAATGACTGAAAGAATGAGATCGCGGACACAGAAATGAGTTTCCTCTGTGGGGTGGTTGGGCTCAGCCTTAGAGATAGGGTGGGGAGCTCGGACATCCTGAGGGTGCTTGGAGTAGAGCCGCTGCTCCTTTATGTTGAAAGGGGTCAACTGATTCAGGCATCTGATCAGTGTTCCAGGCACATCCCACTGGTAAGGGGCTCTGGGGCCGCTGCAGGGATTACATATCTCATCTGGCCCGGGAACGCCTTGAGGTCCCCCAGGAGGAACTGGAAAGCGTTGCTGGGGAGAGGAACGTCTGGGGTGCTTTGCTTGGCCTGCTGCCCCGGCGGCACGGCCCTGGATAAGCAGATGAAAATGGATGGATGGATAAATATCAACCTCATGGTGGCATGAGGTGAAAAGTCAGGAAATTTTCATAGTTATTGAGATTCACCCTCAGGGGATCATGGATATCTCTTTCAAAATTCATTGCAATTCATCTAATAATTAGAGATATGTCTGGACCCTCCTGATATAACCTTGATGTCACTGACATGACTAAAATGCATGCATTTAAATAAAGTTGTGGATCATCACAGGTAAAAACAAAAATGTATGTGCACCACTCATAAATCATGTAAATACTTTTTGTCACTGCACAAGAATATCAGAGAACTTTTAGCCACTGTCATTAACTTGTTTGAATCCTAACTTTCACAGAGAAAACAGGCTGCTGATTCATTCTTGTTGTCACAGCACAGTAACGTCCCTCTCTCTCTCTCGTCTCCTGCAGCCATGCCCTTCATCATCTCCATGCTGCTGGCCAGCCTCAACAGCTGCTGCAACCCCTGGATCTACATGTGCTTCGCCGGGCATCTGTTCCAGGATCTTAGGCAGAACTTTCTGTGCTGTTCCACTCGCTACCTCAAGTCATCCCAGTGCCGCTGTGAGCGTGACTTTGACTCCAGTCACAAGAGCAACTCCTCAACCTTTGCCATCAAAAGCACGAGCAGCCAGAGGAGCATTACACAGACTTCCACCACATAAGCACCTAGCTTCCTTCCCTTCTCTTTCTCCAACCCCCCACCATCCCCGCCTTCCCCCACATGCCATCGCCCATAAAAAAATTCAGCAGTTCAACTCTTTCGGATACCTCTCGCCCTGAGGCTTGCTGTCCAAGCCCTGAAGGGAAAAATACAACAAAAGTCTTAATTCTTTTATTTACAGTACTTTACAGTATAAAGTGGAAATTGAATTGTGAAATAGAAAAATGTACAGAATATTATTAAGGGTGCAATATGTTGGTCATAAAGATGGGCAAGATAATCAAGCTGAGCAATCACCTGAATCTTTCTCTTTGTTTTTACATTATTCTTGTGTGAGATGTACAGTATATATTTACATATTTGAAGTGCAGAGAAAGGAAATGAGAATATTTTTGAGCACTGTAAACCTTGACCGCCACACTAATGGTTCAGTTGTTGTCACCAGCAAAGCTTGTGGATCCTGTTTGTCTGTGTTATGATGAAATTGCTCACCTGTTATAAATATTGTGTATGAGGTTGTTCACTTTGTTACGTTTGCAATGGATTGCATACATGTAAACTGTTACTTGATTTGTTGTTAGATGTGAGATGTCATGGCTGTCACTGGTAAAGATTTTAAAAATGCTTAAAAAAAAATAAAGAGCGAAAGCAGCAGAAAAGCTGTGACCGCTTTATTGTTTACACCTAGTCGATGCTCATTAGAGCTTATTGCCTCCCAAAATTCTTGGCAAGGTTGCTGGAAATATACCAGACAATGAATCAACAACGTCACTGAGTTCCTGCAAATTTTTGGCAGCACATCGAAACTTTTGACTTCCTGTTCAGCCTCAGCGCCAAAATGCATGTCTGGCTTGAGATGTGGAGACTCTGCAGAACACTGTAGTGAGCTAAAGTGAGGTATCTTGGGGTGCTTATTGTTGCGTGACATGGTGCAGTGTCCCACAGGAAGTGACAATAAAGGTAATCTGGGGTGATGAATTCCCTCGAGAATTCTTTGTTGCAAAGCTGATTAAGTCTGAGGTTGCTGTGTTGATATTCATTGTAAAAGTTTCACGTGTATGAGCCATCTAAGATTTGAACCTTTGTTATTATGATTACAGCACATCAGCTGTCACTGTCAATAATGAGAAGTGACCTGAATAAAAGCAAAAGCTTCACAATAAAACAACTCAAACATCTCTGATATCAGTGGACTCTGTTTATAAGTTTATAATGTAAGACAGACTGAGACAGCTTTCAACTCTATTATTATTCAGCTCTTCTGGATAACTTTTCTCTTTTCCACTTCACTGCACTTTGTACATAGATTTCAGGAGTAATGTCGCCCTCAATATTTAGAGCATGTGCATTTGTCCCCCACAATAGAAACATGGAAGTAGCAGAGGACTTTGATGCAGGAAGTCAAGTGTTTGAGGCTCTGACACTGGCAGAGGACGCCCAAACCCTCCATTTCATATGTGTCCCCTAGTGTTGAAACAAAATCTACACCCTTGACTTAAGATACACCCCACCGACATCTATATGAATAGATATGCGTATGTGATCGTGACAATGATGCAATGAGCGAGTGTGTGTGTTGGTGCATGTGTAACATTCATATGCTGCTAAATGGATTGCTCCAACAAAGATTCTTTGTATAACATACAAATAAAGGATCTATCTATCTATCTATCTATCTATCTATCTATCTATCTATCTATCGAAACACTACAAACTAAAACTTCAACTATCACTAGAGAAATATCATTACAAGCTTTATACATGTTAATTATTGCAGGAATATTCATCTGCATAACACTGCACAGTTGTACAGGATTAATTAATGAACCAAGAACATTTAGGGAGTTAACTTCCCTTATAGCTTTGATAATGTAAAGTTCCCTGACATAATCATGCACCCATGGAAAATATCATATCAAGAGAAATTCTGTAATTCTTTTAAAGGCAGCAATCAGCACTAAAGATTTAACAGATTAAGTCAAAGATTCAGAGTATTTTTTTGTCATTCTTAAAGATGCCAATAAGTGTGGAGGCAGTTTGCACAAGTTTAATTAATCATTTGCAGAAGGCAAAAATTAGACAAATACATAAACAAAATCAGGAGATCTGTATTTGTGAAGTATTTGCTGTATTTTGATTACACCAAGCATGTTGATTATGTTCTCTGTCTCTCTGAGTTTTGGCAAATAAATCACTCTTGATCCTTAATTACACTGGTTAATGCAGTTCATTAATCAGAGTAATGCTCTGCTGTTCCTGCTCAGTTAAACTCTACCTGTGCATTTTCCTGCACATTAAAGGACTAGAATGAGTCAGCCAGAGAGAGGCACGCTGAGGCTGTGAACAAAGGGTGTGGTGACACTGAATCATCAGTGACGGGTCTCAGACACTAAAGAGAAGCATATGAAGGATATACAACAGCAGCCTCTAGTGGGTCACAGTGCCCTGCTTTACTGAGGCTGCCAAAAATATTACTAACACACAGTTTGGATTTTTGGTGAATCTTAAAAACCAGGGGTGCAATATGCTTATTATAAGAACAGTTTCATCACTTGTCAAGTGTATTTAAATCAGTTTCAGCCCATGTAGGTGCACAGTATGTATTCGGCCTTTCTGCATAATTAAAATAACACTGTGGAACATTGCTGTTGGTCTCACAGAGAGGCTTTTACTTTACTCCATCAGCAGTTATGTCCATACTTGTTTGCACAAACATCTCACGTCACACTTTGATAAAAAGGAAGTAGATTATCAGCATTTACAAACATATTTCTTCCACCTGAAAGTCAGCACTGCGGGTTGTCTCAAATTACAAAACAGTAATGTAGAGAAAATATTTTCAATTACTTTCTTGATGTTAAGCTTTTCAAAAATTATACATACAATGGTGTAGATTTCTGGGGGCGGGGGATACAGGGGATATGTTCCCCTCCATATTTAGAGCATGTGCATTTGTCACCTCCAATAAAAACATAAAAGTAGCAGAGGACTTTTATTTTTGACAAATTTACAGACATTTCCACCATAAATTGATGCAGAAAAGGCAAAAAAAAGGTGCATAAAAAAAATCACCAGAATGCAGACAATGAAGTGTTTGACGCTCAAAATTTCCTAGGGAAGGACCACAAATCCCCTGCTTCATATGTGTCCTCCCCAACCTTGAATGAAACCTTCGCCCTTGAATATGCATATGACTGTCAAATCCTACTTAGTTAATATAAAGTTAAACAAAACCAGACACAGCAATATACAGCGTAAAAACTTTAAAGGATGGCCAAATGTAACGCATACAGGCAGCTTTGTCCACAGGTGCAGCAGTGCTGGGGAGTTCATTTGTTGTGAAGGAGTGGATATTGTCTTTGGCTTTTGTGATACAAATAAATGAGGTTCAGACAGATCCGGGTCATGGCAGGCAGTCCTCTTCCCCCTCAGTGAGGAGCACTGAGCCTTCCGGGAGTGCCAGAGCTGTCACAGAACCACGCTGCCTGCTGCAGCTGTCACTGAGCTTCTGGTGGCAAAAGGCACACCGGGCATGTCAGGACTCAGAGCTGAGAGCTTGAGGTTGGTTGGGTGGGTGGGTGGTGGGTGGGGAACAGCATGTTATGAAGGCAGGAGGAGGAGTATCAGGGAGTAAGCAAGACGCCAGGACTGATCTTCTGGTGTATAAAAAGATACCGCACTTCATCCGATCGTACTATAAACACTATTGTGTGAGTTGTTAGACTTCTTTGCGCAGTGCAACGCGCACACTGCTGAAGATCTTGCCCAGGGCTTCAAAGAAGGGGTCGCAGAAGGTCTGGATGATGAGAGAGTAGATGCGGCTGATGCACTGTGACTCAATCAGACAGCTCTTGATACAGGGAACCACAGCCCAGATGTGGCAGAAGGAGATGCAGGCGAACAGGAAGCCCCAGAGCAGAGCGACAGGGATGCCGAAAACAGCAGACAAGATGCGGTAGCACCAGTATTTGGAGACGGTGAAGGTGGTGTAGCTGAGCTTCCACACTCCATCCAGGCTGTGTGTACCATCAGGCTCTGCAATGACATCCTCAAAGTCCACCTAATGGAAGTTTGAAAGAGACTTTGATTACTACACACGGCTTTTATCCATCTCCCTCCACCAGACCTTGGTGTGCTCTGAGTAATATGCACATACAAATGTAAAGTGTGGAGGATTAAGCTTGTGAAAGCTGCTGAGTGTTAGGGTCAAATTTATGCAGCGGAACCAATTATGTGTTGCACATTATAGGAAAAAAACGTAATATCATGGCATGCAGGCAAAGTAATGGAGTGGCTTTTAATGCTGGCTCAAAAATCATCCTAAAAGCTCTATTCTAACACAGTTCTTAGTAACCCAAGTTCACCTCATGTAACATGCATGAGAGCAATTGTACAGTGGTCCAAAGTGTTTCAAGTTCTCTGTATGTGTCACCTCGTCCTCGTCTGGAAAAGCGCTGTCGCATTCTAAGATGAGACTCAGCTATGAAATGCTAATTAACTCAATCATGACAGGCAGAAGCAGTGCACATCTGAAGTCTTGTCTTTTCTTCCAGACCACTGAATAGGATCAGTATGGGGAGTGTGAAGTCACTGTCCGTTTCCTGTAGGGATAGCAGCCTGAGATCATCCTCTGAATGAATGGCTGGGCGTGCACTGGTTTATATTTTCTCTGCAAGGTCTGGCCTCTTTCAGCTCTCAGTCAAATACAGCAGAAGGACAATCAGTGTTCTTTAAAGACAATAAATATTAACCCAAAGATGGAGTTTTTAGAGGAGACGATTCCCAAACTAATTAAGAAGACTGTCTTGGCAGGAAATGACTGCATGGATTAGAAATATTAATGCTAAATTATCGCTCACTATAACTCCTAGACCAGACTGTTGGGATAAATTATCAATCCTTCCAGTTTAAACCAGACGTAAACAGGCGTGTAAATCATTCCAAACTGAGCCACGCAGACAGGAAACATAATACTCTACTCATAATTCATGATCTACTATCTTCATTGACTATGTTTACAAAATACAATCTAAATGTATATTTGGTTCTGCCCTTACAGAAAATATTTTGCTGTGGTAGCATGGCAACAATCACCGGATAAACAGTAGTCAAACCTAAATTAAACACAGAGGCACAGTGTATCAGTTTCACACTCTTCTACCCCATTCCCAAAATAAACTTTGCGTTCTGCACAGGCAACAGGAATAGCTCTTGGTCTATTTAAGGATTTTCCAGACAGTATAATAACCTGTTCTCCTGTCTTTGTTCCTGCTAACTCCTTTTTTTTAATTTTCTCCCTATGCTTCCACACATGCCAAGACAGGGGTTGTGTTCCTAATCCTCTCTGTGACAAGGCGGTGTCTCCATGCTGCACAAACCTTCACCACGTCCTCATTGATCTGCTTGGGGTCTCTGTTAATGAGATCAATCTCCTTGGTGTGGCTGTCCTTCACAATCTTCTCCTCATTGGTGTTGTACTGGTACTGATCCGCCATGGTGGGGCTGCAGGTCCTGGACGGGCCGGAGACGGTGAGAGTAAACCTTCCTGGATCAAACTGCACGGAGCCGCCTCGGTTCACTTCTGAACCCCTGTATCACCACTGTGACGCTCCCTCTGGCATGCCAGTGGACAGCTGCTGCAGATGACCTGGTAAAAATGGAGGCCTGACCCCCACCCTGCACACGCATAGGCACCAACAGACACACACACACAGAATGTACACACACACTCACAATGTAATGCACACAGACAGAAAAGGCATGCCTTAAAGGAGACCCAGGGTTGTGTCACATTTCACATGGGGTTGTGGGGCTAACTGGGCAGGGTTTACACAGTGGCACAAACTTCCACCACAGAGTGAGGCAATGCGCACAAACACACCCTCCTACTCTGGCTTTAGCTGTGACACAGTGTTTTACGTCCAACTGCTAAACTTAATTTGAATTGAAAAAATATTTTTCATGTTTTCACAGCACAACAGAGGAGATACAAAAAGTATACTCAGTTTCACTATGTTTCCAAGGATTACAGTTTTCTGTAAAGGTCCAGTCTGTAGGATTTAGGGGAATATACTGGCAGAAATGAAATATAAAAGTATGTTTTCTTCAGTGTATAATTATCTGAAAATAAGAGTTGGGCTTTTGTTACCTTAGAATAAGTCATAGGGAGTGAGTCCTCATCCACAGAGATCACCATGTTGCACAGTTGTTTCTACAGCAGCCCACTATGGACGAACCAAACACTGGCTCTTGATAGGGCGTTTTCATGTTTTTGCCTTTTCCCCTTTTGCGAAATTTAGGAGCTCCTCTTTTTTTAGCGGTTTGAATCACCTGGTCCGTTCGTTTTGACGGGGAAGAGACGTCTACGGATGATTCGTCTCCCGCTAAAAACCTCCTCACCAATAAAAACTGAAGAAATTCTAACCGGGAGAAGCTGCAATCTGCAGTCCTCATTCCTAGATGCCACTATAAAGTTGACATACTGGGCATTCAGTCATTCAGAAGGAGGAATATGATTCACATTAAAATACGCTGAATTCATCAACTTATCACCTCCATCATGTTTGATACTGTAAGTCAGGTGGCGACTGACTTTATGCCAGTTTGAAAAACTCTATGCCTCTGCTGTCACTGTATACATTTCACAAACACACTGTGGAGGAGTAGTACAGCACCGCACTGAGAAATGATATTTCTGATTGTTGGTTCAATTTCTTAACCTATCTACTGTAAAATTGAGCCTGTGTTATTTTGTTTGACTTGGAGGATTTATTCGGAGAGATCTGCCAACATTGCATGCTAAATACATTTGCAAATGCTAATGAGTCTTGTCAGATGCAACACTACAAAACATAAAAGAGCTGAGCAGACAATAAAGAAAATGTAACTCAGCCGCTGGGACTCAGAAGGAGGACAATTTGAATATGTATTTTGCTGTTATATTCTGATAAATGTGTTTGCTTTCATAATGACAGTCATAATAATGAAATGGTTCAGTCATTTAAATGTCTCAGTCATAGTGGCGCACAATAGATACCACACAAGGCGGGGCCCGAGCCTCTTATTTCAGATATTTTTGATTCAAGCAAGGCCAGATACATAAAACCCAATAGTTCCCCAAAATAAATTCTGAATCAGTCTTCCTTAAGCTGTGCAGTTGTTGCTATCAGTCAAAGCTTTCTCTATCAGCAGGTCGCACAAACAAGCTCATAAGCCTCGCGCTGCCAAAAAGAAGGGGAAGAGGAAGAAGTGGTGCAGGTCTCACACCACCCCCAGGTCTCTGTTGCTATTTAACTCAGTCGGTGTAAGAACAGCACAGGAAGCGTGACTTCAGATCATGGATTGGCATTTCTTGCCCTGGTCCCCTGGTGGCAGAGACAGGGAAGGAAAGGGAGGGGTGGAATGGGATCTGAGCGCATGTGATCCAGAGCCAGCCCAATTAGAGGAGTATTCTTGGCGTGGCAATGGATAGAGTAGAGGCCAGTTAGGCATGGAGGCAGAGAGACAGAAATAGCTCAGCAGAGAGTCATGGTGGGCATACCTCTGCCTCTGTGAGTGTCTATGCAATCAGCTGAGACTGCACTGGCTACTCTCTTTCATTTAATGTAGACAGACACAGCAGGCACTCAGACCTATATTTAGAGTCTTATAGAATGTGATGGTAAGAGTGGGTATCAGTAACTCGGGGTAGTTTTATGAACAGCGCTGGATGTGGCATTTGACACATGCAGATTTATTTTTAGTATTATTTACTATACATTTCAAACTAATATTCTTAAATACTTAAGTTTCTGAGAGCAGTAATTCACCACAGCAATTTTAATGTACATTTTTTTGTTAAAGGAGCTCTGTACAACATTCAGAGCGTATCTATTATTCAGAGACTGAGCTGGGATTGCTGCACACAGCTCTCAACATGGAGGTGGCTGAGCTGGCTGCTAGCAACTAACCATGCTAGCAGCTAACTGTGCTGGCAGCTAACCATACTAGCAGCCAACCGTGCTAACAGCGAACAGTACTAACAACAGTGCTGACAGGGCTGACAGGGGTGTTACACATTCATGATGACGCCCTTCTGAGTAGCGCAAATCACACCACACACACAGGATGTTAATTCTCTGCTCAGAACAGCATTACTCCACTATATCTTTTTAGCAAATAGTTGTTTGCTGCTATATTAATCCTACTCTAAATGTCTTTTACAGCTCCTTTAAATCCTCAGTGGTCTCCTGGTCTAACCTCCAAAAATTAGGAAATTTAAAAAATTGTTTCACATTTTGGGAAAAACACTTTTTTAGGGGGGAAAAAAATTCACTTTCTTGGCAAGAGTTGGTTAAGAAAATTGATACCACTCTCATGTCTGTCAGCTCAATATGACACTATACTGTCAGCAGCCGGATAGCTTAGCTTAGCATTAAGACCAAGACAAAGGTTAGCCTGGTCCCCAAAGGTAACAAAATCTGCCTACCAACATGTAAGTAATTAAAAGGTTATCTCTTGTTTCTTTAATCTATGAAAACAAACAAACAAACAAAAAAACAAAGCTGTGTTTAAGTGTATGTGCCTTAGCCAGGCACAATGACTTTCTGGTTTCCCCACTGGTTGCCTGGCAACCTCATGTGATGACAAGGCCCCAAGAATTTTCTTTAGGAAGAATTTGTCCTGCAAGCTATGACACAAAGGAACAAAGACAATCTGGCAGACATGAGGAGCTGGTGGGTATATATAGGCCTACACAGGGATGGCTAAGAGGATAATCGGGGCAGGTGACACACACAGGAAGTATCATAATAAAATCCAGAATGTTACACAAACCCAATTGATTGACTTTATTTTTTGCTCTCTTTGTGACAGTCTTTTTAAAGTCCAACATTTAAAATTGGAATTTAACCAAAAAATTGTGTCCACCTTATCTACAAAACTCAACAGTACATTGCAACAAAGAAAGACAAATTATTTATTGACATTCACAAATGTGATTTCATTCAACCTATTTACGATGCCATTACAATATTCAATATTAATATGATTAATGCAAAAGTTTAGCCTCAAAGATAACTTAAGTCCACTTCTTCATTCAGAGACTGTTAAGTGGCTCTATACTTTATCAGCAGTGCTGGGAGATGGTTGCTTCCTCTGCTTTCTGTCTGGGTTTATATACAGATCATTTTCTAATTGAATTGCAATGTTTTATACATGTAATTGCTATTTGTTTTTGTAATTGTGCATTAAATAGTTTTAGTACCATTTACCCCACATTTGCTACCAACACATGCTTGTTCAGGTACATACAGCACGCCAAACATCATGCCAGGTGAGCAATAACACAGTGTAATCACAGGCAATTATGATGCATATTAAATCTTTATGGAATCAGTGTGCAGTCTGTTACCATTTGCTTTTCCCCTGTTTTGCCAAAACATCAACACACAGTGTGATTTTCTATCTGTCTTCATCTTTTGCCAGATGGATGGAGATTCTACCACAACACTTTCCAACACTGGTAAAGAAGGGTCCGATGAGAATGTTCAGTATGCTGCCCCACACAGTCTGAACCCAGTGCATGTTGATGAGAAGCAGCTGCACACAAGGCATGATTAACCTGCGGAGATTCAGGGAAATGCACAACACATGAGCTCATCTCGTTGATAAAAATTAGAAAGCCTTCTGCACTCCTAAAAAGGGTTCCCACTTATCTAATTCAACTTAATGATCCTTATTTACCAGAGAAACATTTAGCAGTTCACCCATGCCTGTAAGTCTATCTCATCTCAGTGTGATAACTGTCCTACCAGATGTGAAGGCAGCTGAGCACAGCGAAGAGAATCCCTGCTGCCATTGCGACCGGCACTGCCAGGAAGAGGGAGATGAAGCGGTACATCCACAGCCTGGACACCTCAAACAGGGCATGACTCCACAACCACACTTTATCAAAGCTCCGCACCGAGGGAGGCTCTGCAATCACATCCTCAAACGTGACCTCGAGATACATACAGAGACGCTGTCAGTGAGGTTTACCTCAAGCGTGTAAAATAAACAGAACTGGGGGCTTGGATATGAAGGCGTGGAGGCTGTATTACAGAATCTTGACATGCAGTTTTCAGTTGCACACAACATATTTTCGCTCTTCACTTGTAATGTGTGGTGTGAGATCATATCAACAAAGCCAATGACAGAACTGTGTGTATGAGCATGTCCACTTGAGGTCAGTATTATGCAGCATATTGATTTTAGCACATTAATTTGGCAGTCTTATACCTGAGAACAAAAATTGGCATTGATAAACATTTTTACTTAGCAAAAAGCTTTATTTCTAAATTGCATTAACCTTATCATCATGACTCAAAACAAACATACATATCTGTTTCAGCTCATCTTTGCATTATTACTGTTACATGTGGGTCGTCAGAGACAGGAGGTTTGGTATGCAGAGCATGTGCAGGTCCTGTTTCTCCATACAGAAATGATGTACATCAGCTTGTAGCCCTTTAATTTGTGTTCCTTGCCAAAGTTCATGTGTAATTTATGTTGATTAAACCCCTGTGGTGCTGTACACTCATTACCTTAAGACTCTTGTTGATTCCTTTGGGATCTCTGTCGTGAATCAGAGGCCTTGTGTCACTGTGGGTGGAACTCAGATCATCAGATTGTACATCCACTTTCACGTCCATCAGTTCCACTTCTGGTCCCTCGTCTCTTAATCTCTGGTCCTCCATTTCCTCTAACTTCAGCTGTGTCCCGGCTTGGTTGACTGCTGTGATCATGTCATTGGAAATATGGAGGATGAGCAGGGCGTAGCAGGAGGACGGCTTACCACTCTAACCTCTGCTGGCTTTCCACTGACACCCAGGTGGAACATAGTGGACTGCTGACTGTGTGCTCCTTGTTGAGGAATGCCTTTATTGGCTTTTAAAGGCTTGTCTTTAGTGACCCTTTTCCATGAGACAGATGACATGGAAAGTCTCATTTAAACCTGCATGAGAAATGTCCTTTGTTAGTAGCATAATCTGCCTGCACCTCCTCTATGAATATTGAGGAAGTTAAAATAATCAGGGGGAGTGTTTTGGCACTGTCATGACTGCACATATTTCCTCTCATTGTGAGGCCAGAGTTGGCAGTGTTCATTCATTAAGAACAGATTGCTCTGCACTTCAACAGCTTCATTAATGCGGGTCATTAAAGTGAACAGAATGTGAACAGCACATTCACAAATCAAGACAGTATGAACTAATCTAATAAAGATCTCAACCTGCATGAACTGGTTTTTGCACCCATGTGGACACCGCACTTGCTTACAGCATTATCACCTCGTAAAGCTGATATGAACTTGTTAGCAAACAGTTGCTTATTTACACATCCAGTAGATCCAGAGCTACATTGGCATTCATTCTGAGTGCTGTTTCTGTCCACCTGATGAATGGAAGTCCAATACTCACTCTCCTTTTAGTTCTGTTTGTGAGTCTCCAGGGTGGAGAGCAGAGGTGGCTGCACGTTATTTCCATCATGGAAATAGGGAAATTAGGGAAATATTCAGCTGCTAAATGTTCCACTATATTCACTACATAGTCTCTTACTTTGTCAGTGTGCCATATGGTGCTGAGCAGGTAGCGTACAGTGTTTTTTTTTTCTTTCCTGAAATCAGCCGCCTGCTGTAGCCAAAAACAACACACAAAGAGCAATGAGCAGCATCAGAAGCAGACTTATATGTCAGCATTATATATTTCTACAAAGTATTGGTGTGTTACCTTTATATGTTTCATTTGTATCATATTTACATTTCTGAAGTTAAGTAGTTCATATTAGATGTATTGGAGCCGAGTTTCTCATCAGAAGGAGGGTAGATGGGGACTCCTGGGTTCCAGTCGTGGTTGTTACATTAAAACTGGGTATTTAAAGCCAAAACATGACGTTTTTTTGCGAACATTCCTGACAAACTGGTGACAGACTGGTTTAAACTGGATTAAACTGTTTAATTCTGGTTACAGACTGGTGTAAATTGGTTTAAACTGGTTACAGACTGGTTTTAACTGGTTTATACTGGTAACAGTCTAGTTAAAACTGGTTTAAACTGGTGACAATCTGGTTTAAACTGGTTACAGACAGGTATAAACTGATTTAAACTGATTTCAGACTGGTTTTAACTGGTTTCAGACTGGTTTAAACTGGTGACAGACTGGTTTAAACTGGTTTCAGACTGGTTTAAACTGGTGACAGACTGGTTTAAACTGTTACAGACTGGTAATGAGTGTGTCTTAATGAGTTTCTCATCAGAAGGAGGGTAGATGGGGACTCCTGGGTTCCAGTTGTGTTTGTCACATTAAAACTGGGTATTTAAAGCCAAAGTATGATGTTTTCCTAACACTAACCAAGTGTTTTTTGTGCTTAAATCTAACCACTTGTTTATCACAGTGTTGTCCCAACATAAAATTGAAAATTGAAACATAAAGAACATATTCGCCACATATGAAATGTACAAATCTAACATCTAAATCTAATCTAATCCCTACTAAACATACTAATTTAACACATCTATAGTTTGCAGAAATATCAAATACCAACATTCCAGTTATGAGGTTGAGATGAGAGTGAATCAAGACAGTAAAGTTGCCAGCCAAAAACTTTAAATAAATGGGCTAGATGCTAAAAACACCATGGGGACCTGCCGAGTCAGCTGATAATTCTCTGAGTTTGTCATAGCAAGCTTTCAAGTAGTTGTGCGATCCATTGTTAATAGCAGAATATTGATTACAGCCAAAGATTAGCATCTCGCCGTTATCCTGTCAGTTTATGTTGTACTTTAGTGGTGCAAACAAATTTGCATTTAATGAAATTACAGCACACTAAATGACACAAAGTGAACTTGGAGAATACAGGGGCCATTCAGGGTCTGGGGCATTTGAACAGCTGCCTGCTTTACCCAGCCATGTACTTTTTTTGGTATATATTGTCTACTTTCTGTTACATTATCAGCACTGCATTTGAGGTCCTGTTTTACCTGAAGTCAGTCTGTATAAGCAGGATGAATTTGTGCATTTGCTGCACTGCAATATTCCCTTCTTCCCAAGTTTTATATGAAAAGAATGTACAGCTAAGTGCTTCCATCACTTATGTATGTGAGTAGTGTATGTTTGGTTGGTTTTGAACACAAAGTGTTATATCAAATTAAGTCCCACCGGGAGTGTGTTCTTTCCCGACGCTGTCCTTCAGTAAGCAGCCGCACAATCACAAAGCAAACAATCTCTTTTAACATCTGCCCTCCCCTCTCTCCCAGTCAACTACTGAACCTTCACACTTTACTGAGGCTTATTGCCAAGTAGGTTTTCACAATACAAGGAAATTGCTTTGGTATTTGGTACACAACAGAAAACACATCACACAAAGCAAAAAGAAAAAATAAATACTGGCAATGTCTAGACCTATGAATATAAAAAATAGAGAGAATACAACACACATGAAAAATATGTAGGCTAGATCTGTTTTTAAATGAAAATAGAAAATAGAAACAAAGTGGATTAAATGTGCTTGTTATTGACCGAGAAGTGTGCAAAAGGTCACAGTTTTAAGTATAAAGACTAAGTGCAATGTACAGAGATAATAATCCAGAAGATGTGCATTGTGACACACTGTTTATTTACAGTGATCAACAGGCCAAACACAGCTGCCAAACATTCAGCAGACAGCAGCAGTCTGACTCCATTATCTCATGTATACTGAGACGTCATTGTCACTTTGAAAAAGGCACTGAGCTGACAACATGGATCTCACTGTTTGCTGAAAATTCTTGGAAGCTTTCTTGACAGAAATGTCTAAACAATGTGGGGGGAGGAGAATTCACTGGTGTACAGCGCCCTCTGTTGGCCATGGTTTTTTCCTTGTAGTTTGAAAAAAATCCTCATTATTTATCACTTGGTTAAATCAGCAGCATTTTCCACTTTTTCCACTTACAGGTGTCCAAATACCTCATTTTCTCTCACTGTTGGTTTTCAAAAATATCATAGTACTTGTGTTCCCAGTCACAGCACAGCTGCAGCGGTAGTCAAGTGCAGGCAGACTCTGATTAGCTGATGATTAATAGTGTGTGTGGAAACCATGGTGATGAAGGGCCCCCGATATCGTGTTGTGATTGTGACTGAAGCCTGCAGATCCTCCACTTAACAGATGCTAATTGAATTTTCGTCTGGCACAGCTCCTGGTTTGTAAAACAACAATTTTAATCAACAGTGGTGCTGTGAATCGAATGAAAAGAGAAATAGGCCCATCACAATCAAAATAACTTAAGCTGCCAATTTAAAAATTGGGCAATAGAGGCAACACAATAGTACCCAACCAAAATTAAAAACATCAAATTGCTTTATCCTGGCTTTTTGAACCAGCAAATGACAAATGTGATCACTGGTTTGTGGTGTTTGTACTGGTGGTTTGGAGAAATTAAAAAAATAATAATCAGAAAACATTATGATAATTTAATTTCTACAGCTCTGACATTTTATATTGTACTGATAATATTGATGTTAAAGCTTTGTAAAGATTTGTTTCATTGTATAATATTGTTAAGCTCCAAATGTTACAATTAACATGAGGTGTAATCAGTAAAAACAAACAAAAACACCTGTATACAGTGTGCATATCCAGTTATTCCTGGTTGGATGTTACGCTGTAACAGGGTGCACACATTTAACAAACCTTTAAGGTGCTGGATCAAAATATCAAACAAAAGATCCAAAAAAATGTATAAATAACAGCTCCCAGTAATTGTGTGATGTTTTATCTGACAGAGGTCTTTGTCAGGCATTGTGAAATTCTTTTTCTCAATGCCTGACGAAGATCTCAGTCTGATGGAGATGTTGCAAAATTAAACTTGCTGGGAGCTTTTAATAGTGTGTGGCTCCTTAGGGACCTTTAGTTTGATCCTTGCCACAGTAATTCAAACATCCATCGTGAGTGTCTCAGAAATCTATTCTGAGCCTGTAGGTCACAGGTCCAGATGAAGTGGACATGTTAATAACCATCAATAAGCTTGTCAATAATACTGTCCTCTGGCGTCACCTGACGTAACAAGAAAGCTCCCTTTTTTTTCAATGCAATGATCCTTAATCTGCTGTTACACTTTAAATAAGCGGGCTACTGACTGGATTTTGGAAGACTAAATTTTTGTTTACTTGCCAACTGCAAGAGACATCAAACTGTTTGTGTTGTCATGAGTCAGTTTATCTTTATTATTAGTCTTGTGACATCGTTTGACTTTGGAGTGAGTGCTCTCTCCTTTGCAGTTATTTATCCTGATGAGATTACAAATCTCATCTAACAACCCTCTGCAGAATCATCAGGCTCAGCAGGTGATCTCTGCTGCTGTCCTCTGTGAGCCGCACTGTGTATAAACCATACTCAGGTCAGAGACATCTTGAATTAGATTTCCAGACTGAGACAGTGTTAAAGGATGCACATATTATGAATGCCAGCCCTGAAAAATGATACAATATTAACACAAACACCATTTACTACTTACCCACCTGCCATTTGATTAGATTTGCAAAAGAAATAAGTGCTGAGTGCTGAGCTCCGACAGTCACACCTGTCCTTCCAGATGTTTGTGGAGCAACATGCTCATGTCTTTTTAATCTGTTTTAATTTAAAATTATATATGTCTGAACTCAGGTTGAAAATACAAAGCTCTGAATGTTTTTAGTAGCAATGTGATGGATGGTGATTCAAAAGTCCTTCAGACAGGTCACAAGAGTACAGAAGACAGGATGTCTGTCCAGGTAGACTGTGTACTCATTGATGTTTTGTTTAACAAATGCTTCATCCAGGTGCAGTTGATGATTTGTTCACACCTTGTGTTCTGGCTTTAGTTGGTCTTTTACAGCAAACAGACTCAGTGGGTGAAGCTGCCTACCTGGCCCACGCTAAGTTAGAAATGAATGTGGCCAGGACTTAAGAATTGATTATTTGCACGAAACAAGATCTGAAGACAGAGCCAGTTTCACTCGATGGCCAATGTTTTTAAACTGTGGAAACTTTTGAATACCTTGGTACAGTCCTGAACTCCCATGTGAGCTTCTCTGGAAATACTGAGTATATTTTCAAGAGATGCTCACAGCAACTTTATCCTCTTAGAAAACCCAGTGGCCTTTGTGTTAGTCAGCAGATTTTAGAATTACAGTTCAAAACTATGGTTGAGAGTGTTTTAACTTTTCACCTTCCTGCCTGGAACAATCACCTTAGCTGTACATCCAAGAATAAACTCCCGAGGACTGTGACTATGGCAACTAACAAAAGCCCTTGACCCAACTCTTTGCAGAAAGGATGAGGAAGAAAGCGAGGAGTATCCTGGCAGATGGCTACCATCCTCTCTTTAGCCAGTTTGAGCTCTTGAGCTCCGGGAGGCGCTACAGAGTCCGTCTGGCAACTAAAAAGTTACTCAAGAAGTCTTTGATCCCTTGGGACATTGGTGGCTTAGTAGTAGAGCAGACGCCCCATGTACAAGGCTGTTGCCACAGTGGCCTGGGTTCAAATCCAGCCTTTGGTCCTTTGCTGCATGTCATCCCCCCCATCATGCTTGCCTGTCCTGTCCATTAAAGGCAAAATGTCCAAAAAAAAAATCTTTTTTTTTTTAAAAAAAGAAGTCTTTCATCCCGAGTGCCATCAGTATTCTTAACTCAACAATGTGACCGACGACACAAAAAATGACCTGATTTAATGTGTTTAAGTGTTTTGTAATGACTTAATATACTTGTCTTACTGACTGTTTGTCTGCTTTCTACAATGTTGTCTTTAATGTTTGGTGAGCCGAAGAAAAATCTCAGCATGCACTTTGTATATTTGTTACCTCTTGCTGTTGAAGTAAGTTAAATTTGCCCTGCTGGTTTGGTTGTGAAATGATGAGTCATTTGTAGGGAGAAACTTAAAGTGAAACACCACCTCAATTAAGATAAGATAAGATAAGATAAGATAAGACCTGAAAAGTAGGTCCAAACCTGTGATGCCGTTAAGTATTAAGTCTGGAGCTGCTCCACAGACAATGAATTGGAGCTTAATTTTGTGGACACATGGGGTGTTGCTGTCTTGTATTTTTGAGATAAACCCCAGTGAGTTTTACTCTATTATTCTTATTTTGAAATAGAAAATATGCTCTGAGCTGAGTGCTCCTCATTCATTGTCTATGGAGCAGCTCCAGACTTTACACTCTATGGCATCACTAATTTGAGTTTTAGCCCCTTTACTTTGGGATTTGGGAGAGAGTTGTTCATGTTAACTAATATTTTTGGATTGTCTCAGACCATAGGAATATCATCCTTGAATTCTGAATGTGGGCATAGTTCCCTTTCAATGCTGTGTGTGTGTGTTCATACACATATCCTGTGGTTAGAAAGCTATTGCAGTATTCACCTTAAAGTATTAAGTACACAATCACAGATCTGTAAAAGAGGTGTATGCCCCAGTTAGTGACAGCCAAACAGCAAAATGGTGTTTGCCGTTATTTGCTTTAACAACACTATTCTTCTCTATTTGTCCTGAATGCTGTTTGTGAACGACTAATACAAACAGCAGTGGCCATAAAACAGCACTTTGTTACCACTCTCAGCGCATTATCAAAGCCCAGTAGTGATTTCCATTGTAAATTCACTATCTCCTCCTCCCTCCTACCTATGTCACTATAATAGCAGTCCATATTTCAGTGGAAATGTGCTACCTAACCCCACCATCAGCCTCTATTCACATGGTAATAAGCCCCTGTCTGAATTTAAAGGTCTCGTGTAATCCCTCTGCATGAGAAAAGCAGGTACGAGCAGGAGTTAGTAGACTCAGGATTTAAAGCTAAAGCATACATCCAGCATGAAGGTGCACGTTGCTCTGTGAGTCACTCAATTTCCATGACGACAGGGCAGATAGCGTTTGCTGCCATCAACATATCTGTTGCACACAGGAACTCAGCGGTATTGTCGCTCAGATTCATGAGAGATGTCACTCTGTAATGGCCTCCACATCAGTCTATACCGCTGCTTGGCAACATTTACCAGTGCTTCACTAAATTCAGCCGACTCAGCCACCATACAACATTTATATTGTTATTGACATGAACAAACAGATACAGTGGAACCAACACATGTTTGTATGGAATACAAACTGTTCCAAATTAAATACAATAAAACATTTAAATATCCATCCAATCATGACCTTATTATTGTAGTTACACTCCAGAGTTTCACTTGTATAAACAAACAAACCTATAAAACATTTTCTACAAACGTCATTAAAATCAGGCCAATTGTGATATGAATAGAAAATATGCACAGAGGAACATTTATCACTATTTCAATATTTCATGTTACAGTACAGCCATAGCACCTTGACCTAAAATGAGGAAAACCAACCTGAATTAGATGATAAAAGGCACAGGGCATTTAGGATGTATTCAGAGGATAGGGTCACATTTGTTCAAGTTTATCTTTAAACAATACCAACATGCCGACATGTGCATTGGTATGAGTATTGGCTGTTGTTATTGTTCCTCCTGTCAAAAAAGAGAGACCTCCTCTTAGAACAGTTTTAATGGAAATGTAGGGGGGGTAGCCACTGTCACTGATCCATCTTCCATCACTTAGATTAAAATTATCAGTGGTGGAAAATAACTACAGTAAGTACATTTACTCAAGTATTGTACTTTATACTGTACTACATTTATTTCAAATGTATAGTCAGTAGTTACTTTTTGAAATTAGGATGTGACACAAATGATGTGATAAGTTTATAAAATATAATCCATTGTTTAAGATTAAAATGCAAAATTATATTAAGAAGTTAAAATAAGCTCCACTTTGACAACATGAAAGTACTGAGTACATGAGTACAATGAGACTAATACTTCCACTTGTCTTGTAAATTATGTTGCTAATACTTTTGTACTGTTTGTAACGGAGTATTCCTACATTGCTACTTGAACTTGTGTAGGATATATATTGGCAGAAATGGACTATAATGTCACAAGTATGTTTTCTTTGGTGTATATTCACCTGAAAATTAGAACTGTTGTGTTCTTGTTTCCGTAGAATAAGCAGTTTATATCTACATGGGGAGTGGGTCCTCGTCCATGGAGTCCCAGTCTTTCACCACCATGTTTTTAGCCCAGAAGACACAAACCAAACACTGACTCTATAAAGGGCCATTAGCGTTTTTTGTGGATTTGCATTTTTGCATTGGCCACTGTGATTAGTAGCCCCTCCATGACAAGCAGTGTCAGAAAAACACTGATTTTGTATTTATGTAAAACTGCTTTATTCAGTGTTTTTACTGATTTGAATCACAAGATCCATTTGTTTTGGAGAGGAAAACTCCTGAACGTTTGGATCTTAAGTTATCAGTTTGTTCTGGAGAGGAAGTGACCTCTGCGGATAATTCAGTTTCTGGTAAAAAAAAAACCAAAAAAAAAAAAAAAAACCTGAAAAGTGAACAATGAAGGAATTCTGACAGGAAGAAGTTTCAGCTGGTTGCAATCTGCAATCCTCACCACTAGATGCCACTAAATCCCACAAAATCTTACACACTGCTCCTTTGAGTGGATGATTTTAATACTTACATATGGCATGTATGTACATATGAGCATGTCAGTATTGTTTTAGGACAGACTCCAGATGTGAGCCTATCCTTTGAGAAGAACAAAAAAAGGCCCACCTACAACAAACTGACATTGCCCATGTATTAGCACTGTGGTCCATAGCTCATGTTGGTCAATGTCTAAGCCTGCTCCTCAGGTATTTGTCCAGGGATCTTCGTCCCCTGCTCCACAGTGTTTTTGGGACGGGAGTTAGTACAGCTGGGTGGGGTTTCAGCTGTGCTTGTGGTTCTGTGGATGAACTGGAGGAAGTTCTCCTGAAGGGAACCCTCATGGCTGGATGTCCCAAACTCCGCCGGCTGGGTCAAGCAGCAGCGCCGAAACTTTACCAGCTCTTCTCTGATCTGCCTGTTCAGCATGCCGTAGAAGAACGGGTTAACTGCAAAGGAGGAGTAGGCCAGCCAGGTGACAGCCTCCTCCAAGTCCCCGGGGCTGTGCATAGAGCCAGTCAGAGACATTTGCAGGTGGAAGATGAAGTAGGGCAACCAGCAAACAAAGAACTGGCCCACTATGAACACCAAGGTAAGAGCTGCCTTGCCTCCACTGAAGGCCCTCTCTGGAGATAGTCTTTGGGGCAGAGTGCGGGTGGTGGTGATCATGGTGGTCTGGCTGTTGATAGAGTCTGAGCGATCCTTAGCAGGGCTCGAATTTGCCCACGTTTGCACAGCAGGGACTTGCTGCAGGGCTGCAGAACGAGCTACCTTGTACACGGCACAGTAAACAGCAAAGATAACCACGGCAGGAACCAGGAAACAAACCACACTGAAGAGCACAGCAAATGCACTTCTTAGACGACTGTGGCTCGCATGGAGGGAGCAGTGAGCTGCAGCTATAGAGCTCTGAGGTCCATAAGCTGGCCATCCAAACAGCGTGACCAAAGCTAAGAGGGCTGACTTAACCCAGATTAGTAGCATGACACCAATAGCAAGGTTGATGGTCATCTTGACTTCATAACGCATGGGATGTACGATATAGAAGTAACGCTCCACACTGATGGCTGTGATGGTGAGGATGGAGAGACAGATGAGGAAAACATTGAGGAAGATGTAAACCTGGCACTCCAGGACAGTAAACACCACTGTGCCAAAGAACGCTGAGCTGGATATGATACCCAGTGGCATGAGAAGGATGGCACACAGCAGGTCCACCGCACAAAGGTGACACACGAAAGCAAACCTCTTCAGGTGGGGCGCACGAGCAATGGCCACCATCACACCAGTGTTGGCCAGCAAAGCGATGAGGTTAAGGGTCACCATGCAGAACAACCCAAAAAGGTCTTTGATTTGTGATTGGGAGCTCGTGACGACGCCCACATTGGCAGGAACCGTAGGATTGGGCTCCCATGGGGCAGTGGTGAGATTTGGCACCGAGTGGTTTGGCACAGCGGCTATCATGGGACCAATCTTGTCAGCCATTATTCATTCACAAGCTCCATTTCTGTCTCAGATGTCTTCATATGTGGATGTCCTGTGTCGAGAACACAGAAAACAGTTAGTCATAAAAAAACATAGCATTTCAAACATTTTAAGTATATTCATCCATTAACAAATTACAGATATAATATGTAGTTATAGTTTAATAGTATTGAATACTGATGCAGGCAATGGTGTCTTTTTAATTCAGTTGCTGTCCCTGCAAGCAAAAATAATTGGAGGCTGATATGACTATCTGTAAGATGCTGTGGCACTTTAATTTTTTAAACTAGCACTACGGAAATGGTACCAACCATTTCAGCATGGTTTGGTGGCAAGGAAGCTAAATAACACTCCTAATTTTTGATGAGGATACAGCTGGCATGGCCATTTTCAAAGGAGTCCCTTGAACGCTCACCTCAAGATATCTGAATGAAAAAGGGTTCTATGGGTACCCACAAGTTTGAGCAGCTTGAGAAGGCTTGTCCAATTAATGTGTTGTTTTCCTTACAATCAATGTACTCCTTCAAATTAAAGCTATTTTTGTCTTTTTTAAGGAAAAGGACAACCAGCCCAGCCTTGAAGAACAATGAATTGCCTAACATGTATTGATACATCACACATTAAAACAGGATTGTTACTAATGACTGGAGAGATTTCTGGACCCCATGGCTGGACCACTTGGGAACCACTGGACTATAGTATATCAGTATCCAATCCCTTAACTCTCCATACTGACAGAATTTTATACTAGTCTCACTTATACTATAAGCCAATTCCTGAAATTAATTGTGGCTTTTGGTTTTGGTGTGTCACCCCAACATTTTCATTGGTCCCTTCTGGCCACCTCTATGAAAAATATCTGGGGGCCCCACTGGATGCAGATGTATGATTATTTAATATCAACTTAAATCATGGAAAAATATCACAATTACATTTCTGCTGATTTCTGTTTGGAAACGGAAAAAATTGCTTTCACGTTTTAAGTGTAAACAAACACACTTGTGTGTTAACTGGAAACAGTTTACAGTCAAACACAGCAATGAAGGGCCTTGTTTATGTGCAATCAGTATAAGCCCCCTTAAGGGCCATTCTACACTGATATTAAAGATAAGAGTTGTGAGGACAACAAGTATGCCTCAATAGTCTGACCTGTTTGCTAACAGAGACCTTCGTGCTTTTGTTTTAGGTCAAACTGTCCAATATACATTTGACTATTTGACATTACATCTGCTAATCCTCTTTTTCAACACTCTATCCATGAAAAATAGAAGCAAACCAATGTGATATACTAGATGGTGTCATGTAAAACCAAAGGACAGATTTTATGAATAAACAATGTGCATATGAGTTTTTGTTGGATGGAGAAAAAAAATATTGTGACATTTAAAACCCATTAATATTGGAGAAATGCACGTCTGTCCTTTCGGTCAGAATGATAAGTGCTGACAAGTTAAAAGACAATTTAAGCTTTCACCTGCATCCATCTATTAAAGCTCTGAACACACTCTTTATGCAATCTCAGTACAAAGATTTTCATTTGTAAGCTTAAATCATTTTTTTCTCTACAAAGTCTATGTAGAAAAGTGATTTTGAGAAAATATCAACACCTGACACTTATCCAATATGGCCAATGCAAAGATGTACTGATATCCAATAGTGTGGTAAAACACATTGATTGTTGATTGAAATTAAAATTCTGTAGAAAACCAAGATGTATTGTGCATGAAAAGACTTACCCATGTTCCACTTTGTGTTTTTGTGGTACAGTTCAGACCAAACAGATGATTGACTTGACAAAGCTGCTGTTAAAATCCCACGTTAATATTCAAGAGGCCCAAACCAACTTTATTTCATTTTCCAAAAACCAAAATAGTCCTACAGCAGAAAATCCATGTCATCAAGTCCAGTTAACTAACTGAGGTCTAGTTCTTCATGAGGCTTCAGATTCAGAGGTCCAGACTCATCACACATGTACATCTCCAGTTAAAGAAATACTGATTGATGATTTTTGATGTCAAATGATGCTTCCTATCTCTCCTCACCCCTCCACCAGTAAGGTCCTGTGCTGTGTATGGCAGTGACTGTCACACATTGTATTGTGTGTGATAGTGTTTTTCTTTTTTTGCTTTCAGATAGACACACACTCCACTGTCCCCCTTCTAGAGCCGAGTCGTCCCTGGGTCCTAACTTCCACCAGGTCAAACAGGAAACTGAGGTTTACTCTGGCGCAGCTAGCTCTGGCTCTTCACATAAGCTTAACTATGTATGCAAATAAGAGGCCCAAAAAGCCAGTCTGCACATGACTACTTAACATTATAAATACTCTACCTGAATATTCTTTCCTTGTTAAGCTGCATAGTACAAAAGGCACTGTATTATATGTTTTATCCATCTGAAATGTCTTCATTTGTGTAAGCTGAGCCAGTATGTCTAGTGTTACTGTTGTGGCCTTTAATTGTAGCAGCTTCCTTGAGCTAATCAGTGTCAAAAAACGTGAAGGCTGAAACAAACAAGTTTCCCACAATCTGATCTGCAGCGTCTGAGCTATCTGAACAATGTTTAGACACATTTTTATCTCAATTTTACAATCACCAGGTCATACAAAACTAACTCAATAGTCCTGTTTATGTTAATCACAGGAAGTTTTCGAAGTACAATTTGAATTTGGATTTTATTTCCTGAACAGGATAACTAAATAATTTGCTCTGTAGGACTTTCAGACAGACCTTTTTTAATTTTGTGAGAAGCCAGAGACATCAGAAAATATTGTCTAGTAAATGCAAATCCATACACGTGCTATAGGGACCAGAAACAATTTTCAGTGCTGAAATAAGATTTAGCCTGTTAATATTTTTTACTAAAATCTGTAGCACGATATTTCAAATATGTCTAACTGCTCTATCTACATTTTTAATTCATCCTCTTTCCAGGTAGGTGAGAAAGCAAGATTTTTATCTGAACTCTTTTGAACTTTTATCTCAAAGTTATGCAAAATGAGAGATATCAGCAACATGATTATTTGATTGTATGCATTTCCAATGTGCTACAGGATGTAAATCTGAAAATATTATTTTTTAGCCTGGGGAATCTTACTAATTTCACACACCAACATCACCATCTTTATCTACGTATATGTATTACTACCATGCAAATTAATTATATTACCTTTTATCAAATGTCATGCAGCACCATACTGGAAATGTCTTATATGAAAAACATTATTGGTAAATACACAATGACCATAAAACCTGTGATACTTGAAAACATCCAAAAGGAAAAACATTGCAACAAGTAGGAGGGGCACTTAAGTTTATTAATCAATTACTGGTTCAAGTACTTTCTTAGTGCAAAAATGCTGAGGCAAAAACATTACAAACAGAGTTGCTCATTAGTGACACCATGTGGTGGTATTTAGTGTTATACAGCAAGAAGACCTACTGAGAAGAAAATCTGACCGAGCTTTTCATGACTTACGTGTTACATTATTTTGCACAGCAGAAGAACTTTCAGGGTCTTTCTTTTAATAATAGATTTGTAACAGTGCTTGCACATTCGCCACAAATTGCACTTTAGAACTCTGTCTGCAAACATATCTATGCATAGAGTATCATTTTTACTTCTGCTCTACTACATAACATTAAAGTGTCTATAACTGCCAAGGCATGCAGTTAAGTCCTCCTACATATCAAAGATAGTTTCCTCTCTAAGGGACAGGTTTATATAAGCATTACCAGCCTGATTTAATAATTAAATATGTAAGAAGTAAGCTACACAAACCAAAACTGAGACATCAAATAGAACAAAAGGTGCAGCATGAAATATTAAAACAAAACAGTGCAAATATCTAAAGGCCTTTAAGAGATTTAAAGAAGTGAGAAAGTAATCGTTTTGCATGGGAAAAAGTTGTAAGTCAGCATGTATTGCAACGGAAACACAGCCCACCACCCCCAGGCCAGATTTATAGTGTGCAAAATATAAGGCACAGAGAAGTATGAGTCACTTATGAATCATGATAGCGATATATGCACAATAACCATAATAATAAAGACAGTTACCATATCACTTTAAGAAAACAGGATAGCCAAGCTTTTTAGTAAACTCCTTATATATAGAGGGAATGAGGATATTTTTCTTCCAGGGAACCTGCTTCTTTTCCTTGAGTTAAATCAATGCATGTTAAGCTCCAGCAGGTAGCGAAGGCGACACTGGCTCTCTTTGTAGATGAGATATTCGCTGTTGCTGAAGTAGCTGTCTTTGAACTGGGGCTGCTCTATAGGCTTACCCTGAGGCACAGCCACCTTCTTGCCCTCCAGGGTGATGAAGGTGTCCTTGGATGGATCTGAAAACAAAGTAGCAAACAGCTTTACCACACAAGGGTAGGGGGATATAGAGGAAATCAAACATCACAATATTTTTGATGAGATACCTCAATATCGATACAGTGACAATATTGTAGGATTGTCTATCGGTGCTTTCACAAAATATTTCCACAATGAGATTTTTGATAAAGAATCATCAGTAAAGTGGATAAAGCCTAATAAAAGAACAGCTACAACTGTCTGAAAGTTCAGAAAATTACATCACTTTACTGTGATTACTGAGTAATTCTTTAAAACCGGGCAAACACTGAGGACGTAACGATATCCAAAATCTAAGACCATATTTAGTGTCATATCATTATACCAACATCGACTTATTGCCCAGCCCATCCATCCATTTTCATCCACCGGGTCGCGGGGGCAGCAGGCAGAGTTAAGCACCCGAGACATCCCTCTCCCCAGCAACACTTTCCAGCTCCTCCTGGGGGACCCCAAGGCGTTCCCAGTCCAGCTGAGATATGTAATCCCTCCAGTGTGTTCTGGGTCTGCCCTGGGGCCTCCTACCAGTGGGACGTGCCCAGAACACCTCCATCTGGAGGCGCCCAGGAGGCATCCTGATCAGATGCCTGAACCACCTCAACTGACCCCTTTCGATGTTAAAGAGCAGCGGCTCTACTCCGAGCTCCCTCCGAATGTCTGAGCTCCTCACCCTATCTCTAAGGCTGAGCCCAGACACCCCATGGAGGAAACTCATTTCGGCCGCTTGTATCCGCGATCTCATTCTTTCGGTCACTACCCAGATCTCATGACCATAGGTGAGGGTTGGGATGGAGATGGACCAGTAAATCGAAAGCTTCACCTTCCGGCTCAGCGGCTGCATCACTGCAGAAGCCACACCAAATTGCCGATCCATCTCACACTCCATTCTACCCTCACTCCTGAACAAGACCCCGAGATACTTGAACTCCCTCGCTTAAGGCAGTAACTCTCCCCCAACCCGGAGAGGGGTTGGGGGAGAGTTACTGAGGCTTTCTCAATATACTGACAATGAACCTGAACGCAAGACAGGCTTAATTTCACTGCATGGATAAAACTGAGGAAGTACTGTACCTGGCTCCACTGATCCTCGTGCCACCACACAATCATAGCCTGCAGGGGCCTTCTTCAGGGAGGAGTTGTCTTTAGTGATGGTACATTCTTTGCCCAGGGCTACCTCACTCAGAAACATCACTCCAGTATTTTTACAGCAGCGCACTAAAAACACGACAGAAAAATGGAAGTTTTCAAACACCTGGTAATCATTATGATTATGATCAATGCTTTTGTTATCTTCTTCAATCTGTCTTTTCAGCCTCACCGTAACCTGCAGACTTGCTGTTTTCAGATGCAAAATAGATACCGCGACCAACACGGCCTCCTGAGTGGGGCATTATCCTCAGACCGCTCTTCAGGATAGCTGCCACCACAGCTATGTTTGTACCATGCCACAGCAGACGGCGGTTCTCCAGATCTTCATTCTCGCTAAACCGCCGTCCCTGCAATGTGCAAGATATGTGTTAGGTCACAGAACTTCAATCTTCTGGGTCACATATAACAAGATGGACTGCAGTTCCCACCTCTGTCTCTCTATCGACCTCCCAGACATCGATAATTTTTGGTTTGCGGTAACCATTTCCAGTCTCTTTCAGGTACTTTTCTATGATCTTTAAATAAGAAAAAATAAGTTAATATCAGTGGACAAGAGACCATGAATGAAACGTGATCTGAGTGCTTTGTATTTACTAAACCTTGTCATCACTTTTAACACAGTACCTTGAATGTCTCTGTATTCTTGTCCATTAAAGTGAGGCGACAGTTGAGAGAACTGTAGTCCTGGTCCAGAGGGTGAGGAACCGTCTCTATCATCTCTTCCTGAGCCTTTTCAGTCTCTGACTTCAGAGTCTGGGCAAGCTCAATGTCAGCCAGCACCTTAACAGAGCATGTCAAAGGAGAATGATTTTAGGACTGAGAAAACATCATTGAAAGACAGCTCATTCCAACATATAATCTCAAAAAAATCGCACCATCAGCATCTCTTTCTTCTTCTCCACAGTCTCTTTGTCGTTGATGGTTGGCGGTCTGTTCCGGCCAAAGTTGTGAGGGATTGTGGTGAAGAACTTTGAGGAGAGTTGTTCCAGACGTGAGTTTTTACTTTTTTGGTTCATGGCTCCTTCGATCTCCTCCAACACTTCAAAGCCCTTTGCAATCTGAAGTTTACTAAGCTTGCCCAAAGGCATCTTCTTGATGTCTATGTATCACACACACATACATACACGCACACACGCAAACACACAAACATATAGATCAGTTATTTTATATTTTCTTTGTTTTTGCTAAAAAAAAAAAAAGGCATCTCACACTAGCCCCTTTTTCACGGCCTCTTCAAGGCGGGAACTTCCTGCTGGTACGTTGTTTCACTGTTCTGTATGAAAGATACAATAGCGAAATGGGGGGACAGAGTTGTCTCGCCTTTAAGCTGGCATCAGAGTTACTAACAGCGCCGAAACAATGTCTATAAAAAAAGGACAGCCGGCAGGACAGGATCATGGGCGGCTTAGGTGTGACATTTTGACTGCATGCTATTCATGCGACCACTGCGGGAAATTTAAAAAGAAGCTGTTAGCAGTTAG